ACACACACACACACACACACAAAAACACACTTCACTGTAATACTTTAATTATATATATAGCTTGTTATAGTATATGTTAGTGTGTATATATATAGCTTGTTAAAGTTTCACCATGTCTGACCTATTAATTTAACTCGTTTACTTAATACTAATAACTTCTTTTGTTTATTTATTTTGTGATCCATATATATATATATATATTAATTCTTCTATTTTTCATTCATTCATCACTAATAATGCATGACATAGATTAATCGATATAGGTCGAGACGTTTTGTTTTTACTATTTGTCGATATAGGTCAAACGTTTTATTTTTAATATTCATCGATGCATCTAAGTAAGTTATAAGTCGATGAATCAATTTACAAATAGATATATTTGATGATAAAATATATATACTAATTAGGATCTTCATAAGTCTATCCCTAAAAGGACCCGACCCCGTGGTCCTAGCGCTTCGTGTTCTTATAACCTCTACACACACACACACACACACACACACACACACACACACACACACATTTTATTGTAATACTTTAACTATATATATAACTTGTTATAGTATATGTTTGTGTGTGTGTGTGTGTATATATATATATATATAACACTCTTCGTTGTACTACTTTAACTACATAAAAAGCATGTTATATATAGTATATGTTAGTGTATTCATTATTTGTATTACAAAAGTGTTAACGAATTACATTTATATTATTTAGATAGTAAATATAAAAGTAATACAAAAGTTTGACCAATGTTGACGTAATAACCGACCAACTTTGGTAGGTTATTTTGCAGAAAATAACAATTACCGACCAAAGTTGGTCGGTAAATGCTTCCCCTGCATTAACCGACCAACGTTGGTCGGTAAATTTAAATATAAATTCTTAAATATTATAAAATATTTTAAATAATAAAATAATTATTAAAATTTAAAAAATTGGGTCCAGATTACCCACCAATGTTGGTCGGTAATCCAAAATTTTCGTGTCTGACTAGCTGGGTCAATTCGTTGACCAATTTACCTACCAACGTTGGTCGGTATTTAGTTTTAAAAAATTATAAATTCTTTTTTTCCAGTTTCCGTCCAAGCTGGACGGTTTTTGGTCGCTTTGTTTGACCGACCAACGTTGGTCGAAAATATTTGGTCGGTTTTTAGCGGATTTTTAGCAGTGAAAGTCACTAGATAATCGATCACAAATACTGCCGTGACGAACTTTACAAAAATAAGTTGCAGATAACCTTGATCTATCACTCTAGCTTAAAGCAGAGCTAGAGTTTCATTAACAATACCAATATCGCAACAAACTTGAGTAGGAAGAGTTCCATGTCGTTCTAGCATGTCTTTTTTCATATGTGGCACTTTGTAATTGTTTCCACCTTTATCTTTCATCACTTCAACCATGCAAGATTGTAGAGTCAGAAACACGTGATTCAGCCGTTCAACTTTCATGTCATTAAACGATTTCTCGACTGCATTTACTAACTCGTCAATAGTTTTCGGAGCCATTTGATGTTGAAGAGATTGAATAGCTCTGGAGAATCCGAGGTCCAAAACATTTAAATCTGGACTGTTAGGAGGTTGAAAGCAAAGCCTAATATCAAATCCATCTTGCTGAGCAGCTTCGGTAAATTGCAAGTCATTAACACTAAGGTGAGGTCTCGCATTATCTTGTTGGATAAAAATAGGAGCATTTGACTGCGAAAGTGGCCATTTTGATCGAATCGCCGGAAGAACTTTTTCAATTAAACAAGTCCTAGTGACATCTTTAGTGACTGATAAAATAGGCTTTGTTTCTAAAGTTCCAGCTACTCTGTTTTTGCTATTCCTTTTGGCGGGTTCCTTGAACACAAAAGGAAATATTCCTATTTTTCCTGAAAATAACTCAATTCCATCTTCAGCAAGCCTAGGGCGCGCAACAGCAGCCATAAACATAACTTTTGTTATGAAATTTTTACTTTTGCAAGATCTATATGGGTTTGGCTCTTGTTCTTCAGGGAGAAGATAAAACTTTTCAGATTTTTTCGACAAAAAGAACCATTTTCATCTATATGAACATAATTAAACATGTCTGAAAATATAGGATTTGAATTTAACGTACCAGACTCAATCATTGACAGACAAAATTGAAGTCTTGCCTTCTTATTTTCCTCCGTCAAATGAGGCTTTATGGCATTAGTATGTGGCCTTATAACTCCTTCTTTGATGCGTCGAAAAATAGTTGACGTTGACATATCCATAGCACATGCCAAAGATCGAATATTTGTTCGGCGACAAAGAGAAATTTCCTTTACCATATTAATGTCGACATGAATTCGTTTTCTCCCAACTCTGCCTACAATATGCGGAGACACATTTAATGGAGTACCGTTAGCGACACTTAATTTTGTCTGTTGCTAAATTCTTTCCACAGTACTCCTTGAAGTATTAAATAAAATCACAGCTTGGTTTAAAGACCCATGTTTAACAACTCCATTTTTGCTTTCCTTCAAAAGCCATTCGGCAATAGCATGGCGATCCTCAATTTTTAGTCGTCTTTTTCTAATAGTTGAGTCTAATTGCGAGTCACTCATTTGTGTATAATTAATCTCATATGCTAGATAAAATAGGATTAAAGGAAATAATCAGAATGTAAGAGAAAATTAGAAACACTAGGAGAAAAAATAGGATTATGAAGAGAAACACTGAAAGCATAAGTGAATAATCTCAAATTTCTCTACATAAATAGACAAGCTTATCACCTAATTAAAAAAGAGAAGTTTTGGCGCCACAAGAATGAAAGACATTTTTTTAGCGCCACAAGAATTGAAGAAATTTATAAGAATAGCCGGTAGCTAGTAGTCTAGAGTAGCTAGTAGACTACGAGAATTGAAGGAAAAGTTTTTTGACTTAGTTAATGTGGCAGAGAAGATGGGATATGTGGGTCACATTTGATTTAGTATCTACTTTATAATAATTTTCATTAAAAAGCTAGCATGTGGGCCCTTAAGGGTAAAATTGGTACTTAAGGTAATTTGGCAATAATCTACTCTTATTTATTAAATTTCGTGCCCAGTCAAACAACCTCATTTAATATAAAACGGAGAGAGTAGTATTTTATAAAATAAGGAAGATCAGAACTGCTAAAATCAATCATGAAAGGTAAAGTCATTGTTACCAGGTGAAGCTATAACGGCTATATTTTGTACCTTTCCGACATGAATCCAGTGGTTAACCATGATAGAATTAGGGCCACCGCCGGCCCTTCCGGCAACCAACCCATCGGAATTAGTGAGTATAACTACGCAAATGCTCTAAATTCGAAGTTAATTCCATTGTCAAGAACGAAGCTCATCCACAGGCCACCGAAAATTCACAAGGGAAAATCGGCAGTATATTTCACCATTAATGAAGAGGTAGAGCTTGCTAAAGATTGTAAATTCACACTAATCGGGAAATTCTCTCATGGAAGACCCTCAATCAAAGATATCCGAAGCGATTTCACTGCTAGGTTTACTCTTAAAGGACAGGTACAAATTGGGCATTGTAATTTGAAACATATCTTTATGGATTTCAGTCTAGAAGAGGACTATCTGAATATCTATTCTAGAAGGAAACTTATGGTTTTGGGCTCTCTTATGCGTTTAGTTACTTGGACTATCGATTTTAATCCTGAAGAAGAAACCCCCTTAACCCCGGTCTGGATTCACCTCCCGGAGCTTAAATGGCACTATTACAATTGGGATGCACTATTGAGAATCACCTACCCTTTGGGTACTCTGTTGAAAATATATAAAACCACAGAAATCAAATCTAGATCAAATTTTGCTAAAGTACTTGTCGAAATTGATCTTTCTAAGCACATGAGAGATTCAATTTGGGTTGGAATCAGAAATGACGAGGGAATGGAATGTGGTGGTTTCCATCAACCTATTGAATATGAATTTGTCTAACTACTACTTTAGATGTAAACATCAAGGACACTTTGAAGATAACTTGTAGAGGAGACAGAGATGTTCAAATAAAAATCGGGGCTCAAAATCAAAAGGAGGATGGCAATATAGCCCAACAATCCAATCAGAATGCTAATAGGATTGCTAATAGGCCACAAAATTTGGCTCAGAATGACAACAAACCAAAAGCCCCAATATAGAATGGTAACATACCATACGAAAAGCCTTGGACCATTACTAAGAATGCTGCTCAAGTTCTGAAAAGCACTGTTGCTCCCCTCAAGAAATGATCCTGATCCAAGGAAGGGTAAGAACAAGAAAAGGCACAATATCCAAAATGGCATAAGAGCAAAGCTTGCTAAGAAAAATGTTATGCAATGGAGAGCGAAAACTCTCAATCCTATTGCTCAAGCTGAAAAACATGAACAACTCAAACAACTTTTAAACTCTAACACAACTGCTACTATCGATTCTCGAAGAACTGGACATATTGAGGAAACTGAAAATATGGTTGAACAAATAAATCCGATCATCTCAGTTCCTCATGCTACAACCATTTCAGTTAAAAACTCTTTTCAACATTTGAATCAGCTACAAGAGGAGCCTCAGAGTCAGGCTCATAGAACCCAGCTAGTCTCTCCAATACCTCAGTCCAAGCCTTCAAATTTTTATCATAGCCCTGTTATGTCTGAATTTATTAACAGCAAGATTACTATTGCTCCTGGATCAACTGATATAGTACAAGCTTCACATAACATATCTAAGCCCAGTTCTCCATCAAAGCTCATGAATTTAGATACTGTGGAATGCGGCACTATGATCTCAGACTCAGAAATTGTGGAGAAAGCTAAAAGTCAAAAGACAATTAGTTTAGCTGTTCAATTATGGTGCAATGCTCACAACAAGTCTGCTCCACCAGCTTCTACATCTCAAGGCCCTTTTCAATTTCATGTTTCTCATGCTCAACATGGAATCCACAAGGATGATACAAAAGTGGTTGCAGAAAGCAGTGAGGATGGTAAATATATTGAAGAAGAGGAGGAAGATGATGAATATGAAGAGTGTAATTCTACCGATGAAGAGGAATTGATAAGAATTTGCTCCCAGTACTTCATGGCTACACACTGAAGCTGATGATGCAGGCTTCCAACATACAAATGACATTATTATGCGAGGAAATCTATCTCCTAGAAGCAGGTCCAACAGATTTGGGAAACAAAAAATTTTCACTGGCCCTTTAACAAGGGCAAAACTAAAGGCATCCAAAAGCAGTGCCTCAACATCAAATGTGTCCCATGATTGATACAATTACATGGAATATTAGAGGGGTAAAGTCCAGAGGGGCTTTTGAAAGACTCAAGTTTCTCACCAAAATGCACAAGCTTCAAATTATTGCAATTTTGGAACCTTTTATTGATAAAGACTGCATTAATCTACACAAAAGATGGATAAGTATGGATAACTGCTGCACCGATATAAATGGTAAGATTTGGATCTTCTGGACCTCTTTATTTGAGGCTTCAGAGATCTCCATTGACTCTCAACAGGTTACTATGGAACTCAAACATAAGAATAATTCTGAATCTTTCTGGATGACCTTTGTATATGCCAAAAACAAAGAACTCTTGAGAAGACCTCTATGGGAAAGTTTATAAATCTGTAGCCATATAATTAATGGCCCTTGGTGTTTATCTGGAGACTTTAATGTTATTATGAATGCTGAAGAGAAGAAAGGAGGAAATCCTCATAGAATGCAGAAAAGCTGGGACTTCATTAACAGTATGGACGAATGTGAAATGGTGGATGCCGGTTTCTCAGGTCCAAGATTTACATGGTGTAATGCACGGGACAAAAGACACAGAATATGAAAAAGATTGGATAGAGTTCTAATCAATCAAGAGTGGACTGCAAAGTTTCCAAGAATCAGTGTAGAACATCTAGCAAGCACAGGATCTAATCATACAACAATTCTAGTTAGATGTTCTAATACTGAATTTCAAGGTATAAAATATTTCAATTTTCTTAATTTTTGGACATAACAACCTCATTTCAGAGCCATTGTGGAAGAAAGTTGGCAGGAGATTGTTCATGGCAACTCCATGTGGAAATTCCATCAGAAATTGAAAATTCTTAGCAAAATTCTCAGCAATTGGTCCAGAGAACAAATTGGGAATATTCACAATCATGTCAAAGAATGGGAAAACAAGATGCAGACTTTGGAAGAACAATACATTGATGACAACAAGATTGAGTCAAGAGAAGAAATGCATAAAGCTCAATCAATGTACACCAAGTGGCTTAAATGTGAGGATTCTTTATTGAGACAGAAGGCTAACCTAAGGTGGCTAGATGAAGGGGACTCAAACACCAAATATTTTCATTCTATTATCAATGATAAAAATAGGAGGCTTACTTTACATAGAATCAAAGACCAAGAGGGCCATTGGTTAAGTGGAGAACATTGGGGAAGAAGTTGTTAGACACTTTGAAACGTTTTTCAAAGAAGATGGAAGCCCACATCTACAATATCTGAATTGTACTAATCAAGTTATCACTCTAGAGGAAAATGACTCCCTCACTGTTATTCTCACTGACGAAGAGATTAAACAAGCACTGTTCGGACTTAATCCTAATAGTGCTCCTAGTCCCGATGGTTTCAATGGACACTTTTATCAAAATTGCTGGGCTATTAAAAAAAGACCTCATGGAGCTGATCCATATGTTCTTTTGAGGATCTCAACTTATAAAATTCTTTTCTAGCACATGTATAGTTCTCATTCCTAAAGTGGAAAACCCCTCTTCCTACTCTGAAATGAGATCAATCAGTCTCTCCAATTTTTCTCACAAGGTTATTTCCAAAATTTTGAGCAATAGATTGGCATCTATACTTCCAAGGCTCATATCAGAGAATCAATCAGGTTTTGTCTATGGAAGGCTGATTACTGAAAATGTTATACTTGCTCAAGAGATAGCACATGGTATCAGGAACAAAAAAGAGGGTGAAAATGTGATTATCAAATTAGACATGTCAAAGGCCTATGACAAAGTTAATTGGCAATTCATTATGGTTATATTGAGGAGATATGGGTTCTTCGAAATATGGGTAGACCTGATTTGGAGATCTATGTCATGGTCCGCCACATCATCATGCCATGTAAGTGCCACTTGGCATATATTATTGCCATATAGAAGGGTTACATAAGTTAGGGACTAGCTCTTGGTGGAATATTCTAGAACTATGGAGAATTTCCTTGGGAAAGCTCTAGATATTTATGGACTTGGCAGGAAGACTCTTTTGGAAAGCCTTGGAATATTCTAGTCATGTAGAAAATTCTAAAGGGTGTAGTTATTTGTAAATATGGAAG